ATAACACACTGGGGAGGTGAAGAAAATGTGGGGATATTGTGAACTCAATCAATCTACCAAGAGGGTATATAGCTGTTTCTTAAGAACAGCCTTCTTTTCAACTATATGGCTCCAAGCCTGAGTCCTGTTTGGCTTTAGGCTACACCAGGCTAGGAATTAAAATGTGGTCATTCATAAGACTCATCCATATTTATCTCTGAGTAATCTCATAGGAATTCTCAAGTAAACTTTTCATGTTCTTCTGCTTTAATCCTCTCATCACTGGTGTCCATTGCCCAAGAACCCACATGAAGTATGTCTTACCTCTTCAACCATAGTCACACCAAAGAGGCTGGCATTCATGGTAAGGATGCTGTCTCTAAGAGCTGGGAGAGATGCCAAGCTATCTCCTTTAACTCATTTTGTCAGCACAAGAATATATTCTTTGTTTCTCATTTTTCTAAAAACCCTCATTCATTCAAATTGACTCCTCACAGCAGCCCTGCTAGTTCAAGTCCAAACATATTTAATCCAAGTTTAGAGTTAAATTGGCACTTCCATTACATATACAAAGAAGTAAATTTAAGAAACCGCGTAGTAATAATAATGACATTATCAATATAATAATAGCTAACGTTTATTGAGAGTTAACTATGTGCTAACCACTGTGCTAAATGCTTCTTTGGCATTTTCTGATTTAACTACTACCAAACACTATACTCAAAAATCTAGGAATTCACTAAGCCTAGATATAAACCTAAAGCTTAGATATGCAACCACTGACTTTTGCAGATAACCACAAGGCATTGACCTTCAAATTAGCATGCCCTAAAGAACTTGAGCATTCACTTAATGTGACTTGACAGAATGAATACAGCTTGATTAACCCTTCAGAATTTGTACTATCTTAAACAGATATGAAAAATAGAGCCTACAAAATCAAAGCAATAAGGAATTCTACCAAGAGCAGAACATCCTTCTGGGTGGGCAGCTGTGCATTTTAATGCCCTGTATTCACCCACTGTCTTTCACAGAATCTGAACATACTTTAGATACAAAGTCTCTTGAATCTCCAGGAGACACTAATTCAAAAGACAGGAAACTGAATAAAAAAGAGGATTTTGTTTCTGGGAGATACCAGGAGACAGGAGAATAGGAAAAATAAGAGGGTGGGTTTGGGTAACAAAGAAGGAAAAAGCCCAAAATAAACTTCATTACTTAGTCAAAGGTAAAATCTGATCCTGGATACTTATCAAGCATCTTGTAGTGCTCACATCTTTGGAACTTACTATATTTAATTCTCATTCTATGTGACATCTCTGTTATTTGATACCCCCTATTTCTGCTATTTTACTATCTCCCCCAGGACAACACTATTAATATCCACAGTATTGGTCAGTTTTTGCTGCAGCAGCAAACAGCCTCCCAAAATCAATGCTTATAAAGCAAATATTTATTTCTTGTTTACATTACATGAGGGTTGCAGGTTGATTATAGTTTGGCTGGGCTTCTTATGTTTTCTCATTTTGGGACTCATAATGATTACCTGCCATCTGGCTTCATAGTAGAGGACAGAAGCAAAAGAAACAGAGCCATTTCATGCACATTCATTAAAGCTTTTGTTCAGATGTGGTATTTGCTATGCCTGCCAAAAATCTATTGGCTTAAGCAAGGGAGTGCACTTTGTCTACCCTGATGGTGCTGAGCATGGTTGTGTCGGGGAGGGAATGAATAATTGTGAGCAAGTAATTAGATCTATACTAACTCGGTATCCTGCAATTTCTCTGATCGTGCCTACCCAGTCACAAAACCTGCTCTTCTCTGTTGGACCTCCTCAAAATACTGTGTGTGCTAGACTTCTGTCCTTGCTGCCTTTCTTTCTCCCTCTATATGTTTTCCTTAAGCTAGACTTTAATAGCATTCATCCCCTTGATTTCAGGCACATATTTTCCCTATATGCACATTAAATATCTCTACCTAAATATTCTTCCAGTACCAAAAACTCAATTCATGCAAAACTAAATTTATTATGTATCCTGATATTTTCTAAATTTGTGCTTTCCTTATAGACTCTGAGTTAGCTACTACAACCCTTAGTCCTCTTATATGTTAACTTAAATACAAAGCCAGACTCTTTTTTCTTCTTCTCTCCCTAAGTTCAAGCACCACAACAGCCTCCTTTCAGTCTGCCCCACTTCCCATCCCTGATGTCCTAGGCCATGCCCTTATTGCTCTGTCCACAGGAGGCCTATGAAATAAACTTCCAACCAGAAGCCCTTTCTCCCAATTTCAATTGCTTCTCTGAGATTTCTTGGAGAACATAAAATAATAATAAAATATTTTATGTCCTAAAACAAAATAATCATTACATTCTCCAGGTGACAGTTCTTCAGTAACCCTTTGTCAGTGCAATTCAAACTATTGGAACCACAGGAGTACATAGAGGTGACTTACAAACTGACTAGAGGAAAAAGGGTGGAAATTTGTACACTCCCTTCTCTTCATTTAGCCTCAGAAGCTCTATTTTATAGGTAGGTACTCCATACTATCTGAACAAAGGATTCCTGAAATATCAAGTCAAAGACAATCCCTCACCTGTAGGATGTAAGCATATTTCTTAAAGATATATATTTCACTTCTTCTTTTCTAACTATACTCCCTGCCATGTGTTCTCCCCAAATCCCACCTCATATACACCTTTCTCTCCAGGTCAACAGCCACACTGAAATACTCAATGTAGTTCTCTTGGCCAGAAGTATTTTCTCCTTTTCTTCAATTGTACCATGACAACTACTATTCTGAACTTTAAGATGCAACCTTAAAGGAAACTATCTCTAACCTCCCATTCTCATCATAGCTGCCCAGGAGGTTATCTATCCTCACTTTGTTTTTTGTAAACCCCTTTTAAATACCACCATTTACTTTGCATTATTGTTTGTTTTCTTTGCCTATTTTCCCAAGTAGTCGAAAGTTTCTTGAAGATAAAGTATTATTTGTCTTTATATTCTTGGTTCCTTGCACAGTTTCTGGTACAGAGCAAGTGCTCAAATAATATTTATAATGGGACTGAATTAAAGCATTAATAATTGCAAAGCATCCCATCCTCAACCAGAGCCCTAGAAACATTAGTTACTTTTTGGATTCTGTAGTGGACATTTGCCATTGTCAAGATCACTGAACAGCTTTTGAATGCCTCTCAGTTAAAATATGAGCATGAAACCCTGACTCTACCCATTAGATGGCCTCACATGAAACTAAGTCAGAAGGGAGTAACATGAGGAAACATGGTTTCATCTTTTGGTGAGAGTGGTTGAAGCATGCGTATTCTTACGCATGAAGGTAGTGAAGCCACTGATATCTATTCCCCAGAACTATGGGTATGTATTAGAGCAACAGCAATAAAAAAGTTTTCTCTGATGCAACATCCATGGGTTTGATCCTGATTCTTTGCCCCTTCCAAAGTTTATGTTTAATATGCTTAATGACCATAACATGCTCTATATATCTGTTAAAATTAATCAACAGAAAAAGCCTAGTTCTAAGAGGTCATTCCTCATTGTAATGCCTGTAACAATTGTGCATTCTCTTCTATAGTCACATCTTACCCTTTCTAGTTTCCAAAATCCCTCCATGGAGGTCTCTGGAAATCATGGTCCATAATCAGCAAAATTCCCTATATCTTCAATATAGCTATCTATATATTCTCTGTGCCTTCTTGTTTTAATTAAAAACTGGCTCTTCCCTGAGGCACTGCTTCCTCTACAGCCATCTTCCACATTCATTCTACTTCAGGTCTTGGAAGTAGTGAAGATGTCCTCCTTGTTCCTCATATATGTTTCTAGACCATTGTCTCTCCCTTATCCCTATACCCACCTCAATTTTTTTGCTTATGTCATTAGATTATAACACCTACTATTCTAGTTAACAGATTTTCAGATCATACCCCTCATATATTAAAATTTCAAACATAGCTTCTCCCATATACCTCCTGTCACAATTTCTAGTTGCTTTAATACACATATAGATAGTTCTTCCATTGTCCTGGCCCCTAAGTTTCTTAACTCTTTCAGTAATCTGATCTTCTACCCATTTTGGCCACTAACTCCCACTCTTATACTTTTGACATTTGTTAACCAATAACAGCATATTCTCCACTGTTTAATTTTAAGGATCCTGCTCTCCAACAACCACACCCTATTTTTCTGGCTTGTTCTCTCTAAGCCCCAGCCCCCCAAATTATTTGAACCTACCCAAGCCTTTAATACAATATTTCAGTAACATTTCAAGTGTTCAGCAGCCACATGCGGCTAGTGACTAATATACTGGACAATACCAACTATTACAGAACATTTCCATCACCCAGAAAGTTTCATTGGACAGCACTTCTCTAGACACTCAGGATCCCACTTCTAAAATCCTGATTTTTTAATATGTTCACTCTTCAGTCTTTGCCTAAGATTACAATTCGCCTCTGAAACCATAATACTGAGTTTGGTCAACCCTTAGTCATAACAAGGTATCAATTAGATAATTCCAAATCTGTCTCAGATCTTCATTTACATTAAGGCTGGTGATGATGTTAAAGTCACAGTTTGTAGGAGAACATTGAGAAGTACTGACCTGAAGGCAATCTGATATATAAGAGAATGGGCAAAACACCAAGATCGGAGGATATAGGAGTTTGATGGTAAATTACAGTGAAACCATGCAGGTAGCAAAACCTCAGGTAAGGAGAGAGATTAATCAATAAAAGAAAATAAGCAGAACCATGAGATAGCGCACTTCCTTGTCATTACTTGATGTGATGGGAGCCTGAATCCATAGAATCACAGGTATTCCTCACATCTGGACCCTATCTACACTTTGTGCTATTGCAGTAGTATTTACATACAGAGAGGAAAAAATAAAAGCAGTAGTGAAGGCAGAGACATTCCTTGGGAAAAACCTGAGTAGCAGTTTGGGCCAGTTTTGTGTTCCTCACTAAATCATGAAGAGAAGCTTCTTTTCCGACGAAACACCAAATGGCGGATGACGCCGGTGCTGCGGGAGGGCCCGGAGGCCCCGGAGGCCCCGGGGGCCCCGGATTAGGAGGTCGAGGCGGCTTCCGTGGAGGATTTGGCAGCGGCATCCGGCCCATCAAGGTAACGCGTGGGTCCTTTTTTCCTTCTTGGATGTTAGGCAGGTGCAGCCTTGGGGAGTCTCATTTGGTCTCGGGATGAGGGATGAGATTTATTGGGGGGCTCCGGGATTTGTTTGATAGGCTCTGTGAGTGTACCGGTAGCCGGTCTCTGACGTTGGGTTATCAACAAGGAAGCCAAGTTAAGTCTCCCAATGACTGATGTTCAGAGATGGTGTTTATTTTAATCGTGTTTTTCACAAATCTCATTTCTCGCAGGAGTCGGAGATCATTGACTTTTTCTTGGGGACATCCCTCAAGGACGAAGTCTTGAAGATCATGCCTGTGCAGAAGCAGACACGTGCTGGCCAGAGGACCCGGTTCAAGGCATTTGTCGCCATTGGGGACTACAATGGACATGTCGGTCTGGGTGTGAAGTGCTCAAAGGAAGTAGCCACTGCCATCCGTGGAGCCATCATCCTGGCCAAGCTCTCTATTGTGCCCGTGCGGCGAGGCTACTGGGGAAACAAGATCGGCAAGCCCCACACCGTACCTTGCAAGGTAGGCTGGGTGACGGTGACTGATGGGGTCTTCAGTGGCACAGTCTCTCCAGCCCCAGCCTTCTGACTCCAACCCTTTCAGGTGACTGGCCGCTGTGGCTCTGTACTGGTGCGCCTCATCCCTGCCCCCAGGGGTACGGGCATTGTCTCGGCCCCTGTGCCCAAGAAGTTGCTGATGATGGCTGGTATTGACGACTGCTACACTTCGGCCAGGGGCTGCACTGCCACCCTGGGCAACTTCGCCAAGGCCACCTTTGATGCCATCTCTAAGACCTACAGCTATCTCACCCCAGATCTCTGGAAAGAGACTGTGTTCACCAAGTCTCCCTATCAGGAATTCACTGACCATCTTGTCAAGACCCACACCAGAGTTTCTGTGCAGAGGACCCAGGCTCCCGCTGTGGCCACCACATAATTTTATACAAGAAAAATAAAGTGAATTAAGCCTGCTAAAAAAAAAAAATAAAATAAATAAATCATGAAGAGAAGAATATGAGTATTATATAACAAAATGAACTCATTCCTGAACTAGAGAGTGAGAGCTACTGTGTAAATGTTTGGAATTTCTGCTTAAAAAGAAAACTAAGATTCTCAGGAGCTAACAAAGAGCAGGCAGATTTCTCCCTTTCCCATAGAAGTACTGACTGTGGGTTTCCAAGTGGTACCAAGTTGTACCAATGGCAACTTCACCTTAGATTACTCTCCATGCTACTTAATATCACGTGAGAGTGGAGGGCTTGCCAGGATTCAGGAAGAGAACAGAGGTACCAATGGGGGAGATTTGCATATTTATCAAGAAACAGGCCTTAAGTGAAGGAACTGGGTTTTAATTATAGAATGAAGAATATGGAGGGGAAGCCTTGGTTATCCTGACTTCCTGAACTCACAAAGTCTACTTCTAAGTTCTAAACTGTCCACTTCCTTTCACCCCAACAGATGATGAGAGCTGAGCAATTATGCTGACTTCTGAAATTATTCCATTAGTGGCTGTTCTAAGAAAAGCATGTGGACAGAGGCCACATTCAATTCAAGCAACAAGCTTCAATAAAGCTAAATTTCTATATCATTCTCAGCATCAAAGCAATAGATTAAATGCTATAAATGAAATTCAAACTATTTTTAAAAGCCTATAAAATATGTGGCCAAGTCTTTGTATGAAGTAAATTAGAAATATATTCAAACATAATGTACAAGCCACTCTTGCTCTTGGTAAATATCTCTAATTTGTGCAGAATTTCATTTTGGTACATAGGAGTACAAAGGCACAAGAATGAAATTAAACATTTTCAAGAAGAAGGAAGACTTCTAAGCTCTTTTTATGGAACCAGCATTATCCTAATTCTAAAACCAGATAAAAAAAACCTGCAAAGACTGAAAATTACAGGCCAATATCCCTGATGAACACAGATGCTAAAATCCTCAACAAAATATTAGCAAATTGAAGCCAGCAATATATTAAAAAGATCATAGAGCATGATAAAGTGGGATTTAGTCTGGGGATGCAAGGCTGGTACAATATTTGCAAATCAATAAATGTGATATATCACACACACAAATTGAAACATAAAAACCATATGATCATATCAATAGATGCAGAAAAAGCATTCAACAAAATCCAGCAGCTTTTTTAAAGAAAAACTCTCAGTAAACTGGGAATAGAGGGATCATGCCTCAACATAATAAAGGCCGTATACAACAAACCTATAGCCAACTCAATGGGAAAAAATTAAAGGAGTTTCCCTTAAGAACAGGAACAAGACAAGGATGTCCGCTTTCACCACTCTTATTCAAGATAGTACTGGAAGTCTTGGCCACAGCAATCAGATAAGTAGAAGAGATAAAAGACATCCAAATTAGAAAGGAGATAGTAAAACTGTCATTCTCAGATGATATGATATTGTACATAGAAAATCTTCAAGACTCCACCAGGAATCTACTAAAATTAATAAATGAATTTGGCAAGGTATCAGGATACAAAATCAACATTCACAAATTGATGACATTTTTATACACCAATAATGAACTCTCAAAAAGAGAAACAAAAAAAGCAACCCCCCATAAATAAGATACCTAGGAATAAAAAACCAAAAAAGTAAAAGACCTGTACTTGAAAAACTACAGGACATTGGAAAAAGAAATAGAGAAAGATGCAAACAAATGGAAGTGTATACCATGTTCATGGGTGGGAAGAATTAACATGATTAGAATGTTTATACTACCCAAAGCAATCTACAGATTCAATGAAATCCCTATTAAAATACCAATGGCATACTTCACAGAACTAGAACAAATACTCCAAAAATTTATATAGAACCATAAAAGACCCCAAATAGCTGCAGCAATTTTGAGAAAGAAGAACAAAAGAGGAGGGATCACAATACCAAATATCAAACTATACTACAAAGCCATTATAACCAAAGCAGCCTGGTACTGGCATAAGAACAGTTATATTGACCAGTGGATCAAAACAGAGACCCCAGAAATTGACCCACACCATTATGGTCAATTAATATTTAACTTAGGAGGCAAGAACATACAATGGAGTCAAGATATTCTCTTCAAGAAATGGTGCTGGAAAAACTGGACAGACACATGCAAAAAGATGAACCTAGACCAACTTACACTATATACAAGATTAAACTCAAGGTGGATAAAATACTTAAATGTAAGGCATGAAACCATAAAAATCTTAGAAGAAAACATAGGCAGTAACATCTCATGTAGCATTATGTTTATGGATACATCTCCTAGGGCAGAGATGGCGAACCATTTGAGCTCGGCGTGTCAAAATTTTGAAAAACCCTAACTTAACTCTGGTGCCGTGTCACATATAGAAATATTCATATTTTTTTTATATATTTGAAACCATAGTAAAAAAAATATTTATATTCTTGATATTTATATTATATATTTAAATGCCATTTAACAAAGAAAAATCAACCAGAAAATAAGTATAAAATGAACAAAAACATAAAAAAAATGTACATTTAGGAAAAAATAATAATAAAAACAATGATAATCAAATGGTACAAAAACTAGAAATTAGTGACTTTTTTGGTGCTGAAGTTTCTCTGCTAATTCTTCGATTGCAGGTTCATACTTGGTGCACTTCAAGGCCAAGCAAGCGCCACTAACTTCATCTGTTAGCTGGTTTCTTTTGTTCGTTTTAATATTATTTAATGCTGAGAACAAAGTCTCACAAAAATATGTTGATGAAAAAATTGTTAGCAAAGCCATCGCTAGATTTTTTATGTCGCTAAAAGTGTCAGGTACTCTGTTCCAAGCACTCAAAATTTCTTGTTCGTAGTTGCACTCTTCTTCATTATTCAAACGATTTCGTTCCAGATTTTCAAGTTTCGACCTTAAGTCGACAAACACATGAGTCCAAATGCTACCTTGAAAATCTGCAAGTTGCATCTCTAAATCGTCAATTTGCATCCATTGGAA